GAGAAAGTGCTTCAGAAATTGACACACATCCTGTGACAATATCGTCCTTGCAGGTATCTTTACGAATCACCTGGGGAGCATAAGTAAACTGCGACTTTTGATCTTGTGCTAACTGTTAGCGGGTGCGTATAGCCAGAAATGAAAAGGAACATGAATATACAAAAACTAACTGTGGTGAGAACATAGTCAGATAAAGGTTCCATTTCAAGAAAACTCATCGAACAAACAAATTTGACTAAACATTTGCTTCACATCAGCTGTAGGAACATAAGGGTGTAGTCGCAATTTCAACAAGATGAAAATGAATTCGCTCAGAAATTTTGGTCCCGGTGATGGGGTATCATTGAAAGATGTGTTCCTGAGGTCTCCAGCTGAGGCATCGGATACGACTCCCAACCCAGTGGTGCACCTGTTTGAACAGACAACACAGTTATGCGGAATTATATATGCTGGAGAGTGATGAGATTGGTTTGGTTCAAGTTTCATATGACCTGTTCAAATAGGCACCCATGGAATTGCAATATTGGTCACGTTATGTCTAATTTCTGATCAAACTTTTTGACAAATACGTGAAACTCCGTGAAGCTTTATCACGAGATCCAACGGAGGCTGATGCTGGACCGCGAACTAAAAAACATACCTCATAACGATCAGCAGAAGCTTGTGTGACTGTTTCTTGGAACTGATTTTCTGAGAGAATATTTTCGGGAGAACCAGTGGAAGTACCTGATCCATTTCCCAAAATGTTTCAATCATGCTTACTAGAGAGAAATCAGTAGTCGTGATGGTAGCGTTCACGAGCGGAATAGTAGATTGCAAATAACTCATTTTATTCATGATGATCCAACCAAATATGGTTTCAAGAGCCACTGGGCCATTAACGGAGTTTGCTCATCTATCACTGGTCAGAATATATCCGAATATATCGGCTTTCAATAGCATATCCACTGGACTGGATATATCAAATTCTGAATCAGCTACTTCGAGCTCAGGAAAAAGACAAAATACATCTCGCTACATAATGATATCAAGCATGGCTGGAAAAATTTGAGGCAAGACCATGAAATCTCATGGGAAGTTTGACCCATGTAACCTGCAAGGTTCGATTGTACAAGAAGAGAGCCTGTGATGCTCACCTGAACATGTGAGACACCGCGACTCGAAAATGCATTGTGTCGAGGTGTGCCTGAACTCAAGACAATTGGTACACCATTTGTTACTTTGAGTCAATAGGAACCTCTCATTTGGAGATTTGAACAAGAAATCAGAGAAATTATATATTATGTTGTAATCTCTATCGCATAACTGACACAAGTTCTTGCCAATAGACTTAACCACAAGAGATGCGTATTTGGGTTAAGGAGAAGTAGGAAATGAAAAATTTTCCTCCATCTCAGGATAGTCGTTCTTCTGAGAAGATCTTTGGATAAAATTATCCACAGAGATCAATTTAGAGCATTGTTTATTCAGGAAATTCTTGAGAGTTGCATGACAGTTTTCATCTCATAAGCTTGAACCACATTCGTGTTCAAACCGAGTGGCATTAACATCATCCAAGCGATCGAATAGCATATTGAAGAGCACAAATCGAAACATTTCCAGAATATGTGTTCAATAGCACGCAGATTTCGAGAGTACTCATTATTTATAATCTTCTTCGTTTTTTCCGATCGCATGCCAATGAGATGAAGCAATCAACCGTCCGTTCTTCTTCTTACAATTTGAACTATTTCATCTTTTTCTCACAATCTCGGATCAGAAGTTGATCGACAAAAATGAACACAGTGGCTCCAGTGAATTGACGTTCACGAATCACAAAACGAGAAACGTGAAACTTATCTTCCTTTTAATGGATTGTCATCTAGGGTTCTTGTGAATATTGAAGCAGCAGATGATATTATTCGAATTGAATGAATTTATATAGCCCAAGATGAGGAAGTACATAATGGAGATCACGGCAATTATGAGAGATATGAAGATGGTGAAATTGCAGAGGAGTTGCGCATTTCTGGGCCTATAAAAATATGTCGTTCAGAAAGTTCAAAAATTCCGAAGAATCCCAAGTATATGCCTCAACAACTAAAATATGCATGTATAGTTCCATTCCTCCTGCGATCATCTGAAATAACATACGTAAACAAATAAATCTTTTCCATCGCCTGTTTCCCAGCCCTACGGAACAGAGATCATTTCTTTGACGTTTTGTTTCGGAAAAAACAATTTTCGAGATCTCAATGATATACAATCCAATCTTGGATACCGTGTATACGCAATATAATCTTATAACGATATGACTGAAAAAATTCAAGCTCCTGCTACTTCATAAAATATTGGGGTCAACCAAACATTTTTTCCAAATTGAAAGAATTTTCGATACATAGTTATGCTCTCTGATACATTGTTAAAATACTATAACGCCCTGATGTAGTTCAACATCCATGATTTCCCCAACATATTCAATATTTGAGAAGGTGATGAACAAATGTATCCCTAATATTCATGAAAGATCTCTCAACCACTCAACTTTTTTTAAAAACAAAAAACGAACTATCTCGTGGAAAGAGGTCACAAGCTCCCGCGGGCTATGCCCTCACATATTCAGGATTTGAAGACGGCTATTGATTGTGATAGAAAATGTGGTCATGAGTGAGTGAGATTCCTCATTGAGGTGAACGAGAATGACAACAATAGCAGATGAAGAAGGAATAAAACTCGAATGATACTTGTATAACTGTGAAAAGACATATTTTTCGATTCGAATTATGATTATTCAAATATAATCCTTCTACTATATGATCTTGTCCCATTCCGAATCTTGGAGGTGACTTCAAAACTGGAAAATGGATTCGAAGATGTGACTTGTCTCATGTTTAGAACGTTAATTTTTCGCGTTTATCGGATAACATTTCGTGGTGAAAACGATTCTCTCAGCGGTCAGAAGATGTGTTTGAATAGAATTTGTATAACTGGATTTCTTTTGCAGCTGAAATATAAGGTGACTCATCTGAAACTTGACATTGAATTCTGTGAAATGTAACAACAGTTGTGAGGAAGCGCTCGGACAGGTCTATTTTGATATGGAGGAGATCACATAGAAAAATGTGTAGTCTGTCTGATCAAAATAGACCTGCGCCGAAAAGACAATTTCCATAATGTTCGTGGAACATCGTGTGTTCCTAGGAAGGACAGGGAGTGGAGATGAGTGTATAATTTTTCTTCACTTCGGAAGGTTATGAGTACTTGAAAATACTTTCATTGGAAGCGAACCGCTCGATATCGAAAACATTTCGACGCATTATTATTGAATTAAACGATACAAAAACATTGGAAAACACTATGGAATACAAGAATGATGATGAAAGTAGTGCGTTCAATACTTCGTTGTATTTCAAGAAGATCCGGAAAAATTCTCTGATGGATGTTTCAAGACGCTGAGGAAATTTGTCATTCGGGTGCAAGAAGAATTCTACATGAATTCGAATATAGATCACAAACTCAAGTTTTTCGCAGAAATAATATCCGAATGACAATGATATGGGTACAGTTTTCTGTCAGAAAGTTTCAAAGAAACGAAGAGAAGATTCAATTCTCGTCAATTATATTTGTTGGACTGAAGAAGCATCATTCAGCACAACCGAAATATCGAATGAAAAAACTAATCAATACTGGGCACCAAAAAATCTCCATGAACTGAAATGGAATCAATTTCAGAATCGTAGGAATATGGATTCGTAGTTCGGCATATTCAATAACAGGTGGCTAGGTAGCCGTGCGGATAGAGTGTCTATATTCGAATCCGCATTCGCTTGCCGGTCGTAGGTGCGATCCCCATCGACTGCAGAAATTTTTCTGATGGCCCAAGAAAGTGTTTGGGATCACACGTTGAAAGGTAAGGCTCTCGTCATTCCCTGCTCGCACAAGACTCTCGAAGACTTCTGAGGGTTGCTCGTAAGGGGCAACCAAATGCCGGATAGAACAATTTCAGAACAATAAAAAAAATTTTTTAGATATGACTCGAGCTGCATATTCGGAAATTTCAAGAAATGTTCTCAATAATTATATATTATATTTTCTTTCATATGAAAGGAACAAAACAATTTGGCTGCAAGAGAGATCCTACTTCCATAATATCCAGAGAGTTACGATCATATTTAATCAGGAATCCGATGAGTGGATTCGTAGACACGCGCCTAAGAGTGGCCCTTTCAGTTTCCTGATCTCACACCACTCAATTCATTTTCATCTGGCTACCTGAGAAACAGAGTTGATTGAGGAATATTTCGAAAAGAAGTCATTGGAAAGATTGATAACATCGATGTTGCAGATAATGTATCTGGAAAATTTTCTGAGGAAATCACTTAATGTCTTAATGATGATGGTTCATACATAGAATAATTACTATGATCCTTACGTCACTTCATAGTTCATTTACATCATCAGTTTCCTGTGGAAATGAATGTCATTCACATGATTATAACATGAAGTGTAGTGTCTTCAACTCGGAAATCCTCACGAAGAGGGTCACCCAAAGACATCGATAATCGGAATATGTAATTGTATAACAGTTCGCGAAAGTGCGTTGCTTCGTCATCGGTCTGTTGCCTCATGAAATATACTTCTTTTTCATTCAAAATTTTTTTTGTAGCATATATAGAGTTATTTCTCTGAATCGATTATCGGCTGGCCTAGTATAACTGATGGAGATTGGCAAACCATGTCTGACAATTAATTTAGGAAATATTTTCCCCAATTCTGATTGATGTACATGAGAATTATAAACATTGCCGTCGATTATAAATCTTCAATGACCTCAGTCAAAATATTGATTGAGGATTCTCCAAATTCAACTTGGATGATGCGAATTCCTGACACGCAGTCATTCGTCGTCTGAGTGGTTAATTCATATATCGGAATTAAATATCATGGATTGTTGATTCGTTACAAACAGTAATTTGAATCCGGATTGGCGCGATATATGATGAATAATTGATATTTTTCAGCCACCACAGCCAGTTCAGAATTGGGATAATATTTTTCAAGCTACCTCGAACAGTAAAATATGTTACCAAAGTCAGTCAAAGTTACATAGACCTCAAACTGAAGACTGTCTTTATCTGAACGTTTATACCACAATTGTAAGCATATTCATCATATGAGAGAATATTTGGTCATCAAATGATTTTTTTCCAGCCACCAAGTGAAAATGCTAGTCTTCCCGTTATGGTAACCATTTATGGTGGCAGCTTCACTCATGGATTTGCTTCTGTTGGTACTGTTGGACCAGATTACTTTTTAGAAAATGACATCATCGTGGTGTCATTCAACTACAGAGTTGGACCTTTCGGTTTCTTGTCTACAGGCGATGGGGTGATCCATGGTAATATGGGACTGAAGGATCAACTTTTCGCTATCAAATGGGTCAAAGAGAATATCCATCTATTCGGGGGAGATCCTGATAAAGTTACCATCAGAGGACAAAGCGCAGGAGCAGCATCTGTCACGTACCACATCCTAAGTCCCAGTTCAGCAGGTGATCACAACAAAAATTCACTCACGAGGATAGACCGTATTGAATAAGAACATATTCATAATTTGATATGGTCCTGAGAATTTTAGGATCTGAAACTTGGAAGATATATTGACATTTCTTGCTCTCTTGACCACTTCGAATATGATTATTGATTCGAAATATCATGTGGCAATGATTCTGAGTTTAGAATTATTTGTGTGAATTCAATATAGAAATCTATAATTCCTTATGAGTGATGATGATTCTAGGATCTAGAATCACGAAATTATCCTGTGATATTCGAAGATTCAAGAAATATGATTTCGACAATCAAGTGTTCATCATCAGCTCATTCTCACAGTACGAAAGTTGTCGATATGCAAAAAACTGTCATTGCCAATACCTAGCATAATGATGTGTAAAAAGTATTTGGATAGTTTCAATTGATTCGTAGTTCATCAAGAAATGATCAATGTCCATCAATGATATCAAGGAGGAGGAGTTTGAGATCAATTCGACTTAGTCATCATAATCGATACTTAAACCTTTTGAAACACATTCACGAGGCTTAGTGCCATCTTCTTGCGCACATAGATCGCGATGTTGTAACATATTCTGACAAAGTCTCTGCTAATTGTGGATGGATATATGAGAATTTCATAGCAGGCGATTGAAAAATGATTTCGATATTTTCTCTTCATATTGATCCTCCTTGATTCTACATCATCTCAATTAATTCTTGTGTACACAAACGCACTCAATACTACTTCACAATCTGATGGGATTATCATTCTGTATATGTGGTTGAATTGAGTCTCCTGACTAGTCATTCGATACTCACCTTTGGATCCTCCAAATCTGGTACTTGGTGATTCATATGGAGACAAGGATACGTCAACAGTAGATAGTGATCACTGGGATTATGGCGATTGGACTCTTTATCTACAATCTTCATAGTGTCAAAACAAACAAATTATCGACTAGGTGTCTTTATTTCATTATACCTGCTCCACATATTTGAAGAAGAATGTAGATGTGGATAAACAAATATAATACAACACTTTGTATTATCGCATCCTCAGCACTCGCTCTGAAACTTGGAGTATAGGGAGAATTAGACTCGTAGAATGCCGTTTCTTCATTTTCTCAAATTTTTAACTCAAATGATGTTTTCGTCAATTTGTATATGGAATACCTACTGAAATTCTTTGGATTTTCCAAATTGATAGAAGTATTTTTCCTATCGACTGAAAAAGTCCATGAAGTAATGATATATTCCTGCTACTTATATTGATATCTTGGGCGACACTCAAACCTATGTGGATGTGCCATGAACAAAAACGTCACACGCATACCATGGTTTCATTGAAGAACTCGATCAAGGTCTACCGAGTCTTGACTGGTGGCCATGACACGGAATTTTTCATTGGAATTCAACATGTTTCGTTCGATGAAAAAACTTAATTCAATGCATTTACACTTGACTGATCGGGATGTATAATATGAATTCGAATGAATATCTTATCTTCAATGTTTAATCTTTGAGGTATATCACCTGATAATCTATTCGTTGAGAATTTATTAATACTTGAACAATGAAACAGTTGTTGAATAAACGAAATACCACTTGATTGAGAATGTTGTTCGAGTTCATATTTAGGAGTAATTCGCCCGTCATTCAATGAGAATTGCACGTTGGGAGTTTATAGATGAACGACGAAATTGAGATTTCATTTAATTTCATTGAAGTGGAACCGCCTTCCAAACAGTTGAAATGATGATTATGGAAAGAACTGATACTGCGAAAGCTGAAACTTTGTCAACATGTTGATTATGTTTCAAAAATGCAAAGGTTTCGTGTCCTGTTGAAAAACAGTATGTGATCTTCTTGGAAACGATCTTCATTATTATTCAATGATGTGTTCTGATTGTGGACTGATGAACTTCTTGTTTGAATTCTAATGAGTTTCTCCTGTCAGATTACTTCCGATTGAAGTTAGTTCAATGAACTGGTGTTCAAAAATACCGGCTCAGACATTCAGTTTTTCAGAAGTTTGAGTGTTGACTATGTGATGACAGGCAGACTGGTATCTGACAAATACCAACAATCATAATGTCGATTCACAGTTGATTCTAAGAATGAGTAGACTCAGGAGAGCAGATGTTAGACAAAATATCCCTATCAGTATCTATTGTTGCAGCCATAGTTCCACAAAATTCTTGTCGCCAATCGATATCATTTTCAATCAATCAGTGTACCGTGTGTGTATTTTGTAGGGATGGAAATCATGTTCCATTATTTGGCAGATACTTTTTCTTCTGATGATGGTAACATTTGATAATTTCCTCGTACGCAAACTTGGGTCGTCACGAACTTGTCCTGGCAGTGTAATCTCTGGATCTCGTTTATAATTGGCTACTGATCAAGTTCCACAAAATGTAGGCACATATCATACAAGATTTTGCGTTTGCGTTCATGAATGAATTTTTTGATCGGTTACCGCTCTCGTCATCATCTGAAGAATTATAACCATTCCAACCCTTTTCGCGATGATATATACCATGATCCAGGAAACATATCCAGCAGCTTTCTTTGAATGACGCACTTTGATGTCATTCAATGGGATTCGAATTGGACAATGAACAACTGCTTCAGAAAGAAAATCTTTCATACATGTTCCTGTTATACTTGGCTCCAATTGAAAAAAAAAATCCTAATAAATTTCTGAGGATCGTATATTTCTTCAATCAAGTGGATGTGGTGGATATATTATTATGATGAATTATCAGAAATATTTTCGTGATAGATAGTTGAAAAATCTCATTCTTCGATGATGACAATCTTACTCAGCTGCATCATCTGATTTCAATATCGTGATTTTTCCATTTCCACATTGAATATCTTGACAACAGAAATTGACATACTCCAATTTCTCTCGTCAGTTTCAATTCAGGAGACAGATTCCTTTGAAATAAGGTACCATTTGCCGAATGTTACCTTTCGAAATTTTCGAAAGGCGTTTACATTACCGAGAGATGGAATGAATTGCGAGTAGGTTTTATAGTGACCGATATGATTGTCTTCCTCAGAATGGTTGATGAAGTTCAGTGTCCGAGCGTTTTTTGATAATCCGGTACTATCAACCTACAAATCCGCTGTTTCGTTCACGAATGACCTACTTTGTACATTACATAGATCACCATCTTATACGAAACAGACGAATCATCTGATTATACCCTACTTCCAGAAGAAAAAAATTTCGCACACGTGATGAGACTTGTCAATGTATCCTGTTCAGATTTGCCCTCGACAAGCCATAATCGCGGAAATCAACGTGTTATCAGATAATTATTTGATCTCTCCAGTTTCAAATGGTGAACTCTGGATACGTGGTTGATTCTTTGCCGGTGGAGGTACATATTCTAATGGTGTCTATTCATCTGGAAAATATAGTGCGGATGTTTCCGTTGTTCACGGTAAATTCATGTTACTCATCTCACAGTGAATGATACGACAATTACATTCTCAAAATCATCATGAGTGAGTTACATTTATTCTGCAGGTCTTTTCAGGGGTGCAATAGCCAGTAGTGGCTCTGCCATTTGTAACTGGGCTAGCGAAAGACCGAATGGACGAGAAAAAGCGTATAAAATCGCTGCCGAGATGGATCCTAGTTTCAAAAAAAGCAATTCCACCCAAGATATACTAGAATTGTTACTCACCATAGACCCAAAAAGGATCAGCGAAACAAAATTTGTAGTATGTCTGAAGATCTTCTGCACGGAAAAAAAGGAATTGTTGAATCAAGCAAAATTCAATTGAATGGAGCGAATAGAAGTGTCATATATGCACGACAAAATATAATCTTGGAATGAGTGAATCTATATCTTGTTTCAGAGCGAATTTGGAATTTGAATCAAGTGAATATGTCTTGCATGAGCTCTGGATCTTTTTCAATCAAGCATATCCATGAATTGTTTATGAAGAGATATTGAATTGGCTCAAATAATCATATTGTTTGATTAAAAATAACAAGATATTGATTCAATCGAATATTTACTTGATTCAACGAAATATTTGGTTGATTCAAAGGAATATTTGGTTGATTCAATGAAATATTTAGTTGATTCTATAAGATATTTGGTTAATCCAATGAAATATTCTGTTCATTCAAGAGAAACTTTATAACGATTCGATAAATTGATTTGTTGAAGCAAACTCAATATTCGGGAATTTTCTGAAATTTCTCATCAATAGAACAAACAAAACTAGAAAACAAGTCGACTCCTAGCATATATCTTCAGTCTTTACTTCTCTTTAGCTGATGCAAAACTATTTCGGATTGCTAATCATCCTAAGTTCGATTCATCCAGCTGATATTTCAACCACGAAGGTTCAGGCAAAATGATCGCCATCTATAGGCGAAAATTTAAGTTGATGTAAAATGAACAAAATATCTCTATGATATTATATATTTCGTTGCTCTATTCAAGCAAATGATCCCTTCGAAACGAGTTCAGTTCTTCATCGGAATAAGAAAACTTGTATGTTGTTTCGAAGATATATATCCTCATCAGAATGATCATTGTTTGATCAAATCAACGGAATGTTCATAGTTGAATCAACATCGACATTATTTTGGATCGACATCATTTGTTTTTGAGAAAACCATATATTCTGTTGATGAAATTGATATCATAATGTTGATTCAATCAGACTACATTCTTGATTTGAACGAGCTGTTTCCATGGAATAATCATGCATCTGGTTGAGTCAACAAAAAATTGCTCAATCCAACAAAAAAAAATCCATGCATGAATAATTTGTTGATGCAACAAATCCTTTTTTCCGTGT